TATAAAGTACACCATAGGAGTTTCACACGACCGAACTTGTTTCAAGAGATCATTGTAAAAAGAAAGCTTCAATTTTTAAATTTTAGATAAATTCCATCACAAGAAAAATTTTCCAAAATCTTTAGGATGTTTCAATATGTATCATTTAAAACAAAATTTGTTAATATATCGATATAACAATCAATGTATCGATATAATAACAAACATGTTAGACGAAAATGAACGTTAAAGTAGAAACTGTTAAAGCTTTAAAATCATTGCAGATTCAAATGTACAACATCCCGCGATATAAAATTTCTTATATCGATCACATGTCCCTATTATTAGCAATATTAACATCATTTATTCTGTTATTTGACGAACTCTAAAATTGCTTTGCCCATTGTAACGAATGAGAACGGGTGTCTTCGCTTTTATATAGCCGAAGTCAATAAATGTGCCTTAGGGGAACAGACAGGCAACAGTCGTAAAAAAAACCTAGATTACGGAGTCTTTTATTTTCTTGTCGCCTCTGATCCCCGTAATCGGGATTCGCAGTAAGATAAAGATAAAACGATAAAACTATAAAAAGGTAGAGGGATCAAGTATACTTAACCGCTAACAGCATGTGCGCCTAGAAGGTGTGAAAAATTAATCATGAATTTTTCCTTTGATCTTCACTTTGTGCAAGAGATACTAAACAAGAAAAACAAGGTAACAACAATACGCGACCGGTTTTTTTTTCCTGCTTAGAGGAAATTCGTTTGGTATTCAGAGATCTATTATAACGAAATAATGAAACGTCTGAAAGTTCGAATCTTTTAGTAAGGACACGATTCGTCTTTGATCATACGAGTGTAATGTACTTCCTCGATGAAAAGATGTTCAGACGAGCGGGTACCGTGCGAGCAACAAAAGATGTCTGTTCCTGGGGGACCAAGAAGATCAAAAGATATGTATCGTTTACCCGTAAAACTGGAGCCTTTGAACTCAATTATTTTAGTAAGAAACAGTGAAGCGTCAACGCGTAATTATCGGGATCGTAGCGATACGGTGGCATAAAATTCTACAGTTCATTGTTTTGTTGCAGAATTACATCGTTGAGAATATGCTTGCAGAATTAAAACAATCAGCCAAGTTGAGTGAAAGATCAAATTTTGTTAGTGAAAGACAATTTTTATAGCGAATTAAGCAATGATGAATTAGATCTAATGATTGAATTAAGTAAATAACACGATTTGTACACTTTTCGGTATTCTTGAATTATTATTTAGCGAAGCGTTGTAATCTTTTGTATATCTGTGAAAGCTATTTACAGTTTCATCTCGTGATGTTAATATCATTTTTGCCTATCATTTTACAATCAGAATAATAATTTCGGTATTACGCAGCACTCAGTACGGATATATCGCAAACGAAACTTGTAAATCTGATGTTGCCAATGCATGTATTATTATGTAATTGAAGCGTAAAGCTTGCTAAGAGCACCCGACGAAGTATCTATTTACGATCGTGATTTAAAGGCTGCAGGTACAGTTCAGTGCTATTCAAATACACTGCCTCGTCACGCTAATAACAGGCAGATTCGGTCTACTTAGGATCGTGGATCAACTTATTACTGCAGCGAACCAGTTTGAGCGAAGCAATTACCATTGTAAGGGTTAATCTACCGTACGATATTTCTTTTCCTGAATTTCTGTTCCGTATCTTTATGCTCTCTCTTCTTTCTTTTGTAAAGGAGTATCGTAAATTAAAAAATTCTCGCTTATCTGAAACTTTTCAACGGTTGGAGAACTTCTGAGGGGGTGAAGAAGATTTCATCCCAAAGCGGTTTAGTCAACAGTAACTTTCGATGTTTCGATAATTAATTTTCACGGCTGAGAAAATGCCATCCCGCAGCGTTTTACTCGAACCCCTCCAATCGTTCCGAAGTCCACGCGCAAACTCTCTTCTTACAGAAACATTCAACTCGAACAACAATTTAATTAAATAGGATTTTTAATAACATTTTAAAATTTTCAATAAGCGCAATGAATACTCAAATCGCCCTTGCACGGCGCCAAATATTTCGGCAGAAATTATGGTTATTCCGAAGTTAACCCTCTGTAGTACTTAGATTAACCCTCTTTAGTACTGTATTTTTATACTTATAGATTTATTTTTTATAGATCAGGACCACTTTAAATAAATGGACCACTTTACAATTTTTGAAACAGAAGAATTTATTCCGATGCGTATATATCAAACGATATATATATGTATATCAGATTTGCATCTTTTTTTCAATTTGAGAGCGCTGAGATGACTGATTGAGTATAATGAAATGTTTCTGAAGCGATTCTGTTTAGCAGTGTTTTATAGTTTCATTTAATTTTTGTATCCTTCGCTCTCAAATTGAAAAAAAGATGCAAATCTGATACTTCATGCTGCACCAGGCCTGCCATGCCGGTCATTTTGCCTGGTTTCACAATTTTTATATTAAGATTGTTGGCATTATAAAAATTACTTAATACGACACAACATTACAAATAAAATGGCAAAATGTTGAAATAAATTCAGTCTTGTCATTCTGATAAAACGACGGACGACAGTCGTATTCGGTGCAGGGTAGGTTTTTATGTTAATATTGCGACGACAAACTGTTGCGGCTATTGTTCTAGCCATAAACGCGTGAAGATTCCGTTCGAACCGCATCGACTATGTCTTAATAATACGCTCCGAAGTTCGTCGCTGTAGGCAAATTGTGCTATGAATAACGTACCATGTTGTCCGAGACCTTGATGCTTTCAGACTGCGTGTAGCCAAGTGACCCAGAATTTCACGTGAATTAAAGGTTATCCCTAGAACACTCGATCCGGCATAATACAGTCGAAGGATTGTTAACTCGTTAGGAAGCGCGGCGAAAATAGCGCGACTCGATATCAGGATCCTTGACGGTTTCCTGTCTCGATCTACCGAGTTGGTAACAGTTGAAAGACCGTTAAGTATGAAATACGACTAATTTGAAACACCATGAGGTAAAACAAACATGTATACGCAGTAATATATGCAACCTTGGCTTCGTTTTGTTAGCAGTTATCGTCTCGAAGCGAAACTTTGGTAACTCTAAAAAGTAAATTGCTTCGTCCCGAGCCTTCATTTTGTTAGAAACTACGGCCCGGCCTGGTCTTAAAAACTTTTTCAGCTTCCAGGGCATGAACTAGTTAACCGAACACTTCTTTTCCATGCGAAAATAATGGCTCTCGCACGTCCCGGCAAATTTAGATTCGGGAAAACAATTTTCTGAGCGCACCGGGGCCATTTACGATCGTAGAACTTGTTTCGTTTTGTAAATAACATTGCTCGCACTTCTCCACAAAAATTCAGAATTCTCTAAATTCTCCAAAAGCATATACAGGGTGTCCCATAATTATGCCAACAATAATAATAATAACCTTTCCAACATCTGGAAGGAAGTGATTCCTGAGGTCATTTGAAGTAACTTTTTCCTTAGCGAAAAAGCGATCCGCGGCTTTGTTTACGAGTTATTAACGAAAAACACTGGCCAATGAGAAGCGAGCTCTTCTGGCGCCATGCGGCCGAGCCAACGAGCGGTCGAAGCCCAGTCCTGCTGATTGGCTCGACCATCTAACGCCAACCGTGCTCGCCTCTGATTGGTCACTGTTTTTTGTTAATAACTCGTAAACAAAGCCGCGGATTGCATTTTCGCTAAGGAAAAAGTTGCTTCGAATGACCTCGGGAACCCCTTATTTCCTGGAAATAAAAAATAAATAATAAAAATAAAATAGAAAAGCTTGCAAACCGGCGAAGTGTATTTGATATCGATTTCATAGCATCTGTATTTATTATCTCGCGGTCGTATAAGAAGAATATTGAGTTCGTTTCTTTTTTTCAGGTGATACTAGTGAAATGGAACGAGCCATACCAGAAGCTGGCTTCGTGCGACAGTTCCGGCGTAATTTTTGTGTGGATCAAGTACGAGGGACGATGGAGTATAGAGCTGATCAACGACAGAAGTATTCCGGTCACGCATTTCTCTTGGTCGCACGACGGTCGGATGGCTCTCATATGTTACAGGGTAAACAGTTTTCATTGACTTCCCTACGTGCTTAATGAACGGTCCCGTGCAGTGACACATATTAATACAGCTTTCGATCATAATTCGCAAACGAAAGAACCAAAAACTCACAGAGTTCCGCGTGATTTTATCGTCGTCTTTACCAGAGGAAAATCGATACCGCGGATTTCATATATTTTTTTCGAACAATGAACGAATCAACCGCAAAAACCTTTTTATGCAACTTGAAGATATTGTTGCATATCTTGTACCAATATTCTACGAATTATTTAGATAAGAAATTAACGCTGATGCAGCTCCCGTGTCTTGCAGTCAGTGCAGGCAATTCTTATTTAGCACAAAAATCCGCTGATCATTGCTATTAATACGATACATGAACTTAAATATTCCACATGAACATTCTCCGTTTTACAAAGCAACACCTACCCCCTTTTCATCGTCGTTTGATATCCCGTCAGAACGTTTCGTTGAATGAAGAATTGCTCAATTAAATCTCTCATTCATCTACCATGCTTCGTTATTTCGGATTTAATCTGTTCACACGAAAAAAATTCCATTAAGAAAAGCTTCGCCGTTTTATTTTTGTAGCGTCTCGTCGCGAGCTGAAAATGATGTTTCCTACTCCTTGCAAAAACAGCTATCCCGTGGCAAACGCGGTGAACTTTAGCGAATCAATTATATCGCGGGATATACAAGACTGCGTGCGTACATGCATATACACACGTGAAATTTAATTCTGAATCATGGTCGCCGGTAGCTTCAGACAGAGCTTATAGAAATTCCCCTCGAGACTGCCTAACACTGCCGCGATAATATTTCAGGATTAAATTCCGCGTGTATGCATTATTCATAGTTGCACCTAGGGAGGTTTGAACAGAGAGCGGTAAGGGTCAGTAAGATCCGATCCAAACGCGGGGCCTTGGCCGTTCGGTGTCGCGCCCCGTCCCCAACATTTTTATGTGTCAACGGGCAAAACGAGGTACAAGACCGAATGTTGGTCGTGCAGCTAGATACGCGCCGACTGCTTTTCAAATGGTGCCGAAGTTGGTGCCAACTTTTGAATCGGGCATGCTCGCGAAGCTGGCCTCAATGACGTTGGCGCCAATTCCCCGTGTACGAATCCAGCATTAATGGAGCATCACCGTGCTAGTTCCGATAATAAAACGTCGATCGCGAACTTGATTCGCGCTGGAAACTTCGATGAAGAACTTCGTTTGCAATAATATTTTCCATAAAACGGAAGAACAGCGGTTTTTATTTCTCCGTCGATCTCCAGGAGATTTCGATTGCGTTTCGTCCAAAGGTCTGAGCCAGCCTTTGCGACGTTCGAGAACATGAAAGGGTGAACTTGAATATTAGGCTCGACGCCGCAGAATTGATTTCGTCTGAATGGATCACGAGAGATCAATGAATTTTCCTGTCCACAGGACGGCTTCGTACTCGTAGGCAGCGTCGCGGGTCAAAGGTACTGGTCATCGATGTTGAACGACAAAGCTACTGTTACTTGTGGTATTTGGACACCGGATGATCAACAGGTATATCGCACAGGGACTGGCTACAACTTTATAGCATTTACTGCCTTAGCTCAAGTCTATAATATCGTATAGGTCGAGAGCTTGAATTTCGAAAGCGTCTTTCACGGAATCGAATGCCGAGTTAAATTGCTTAATAACTCGAGCTCCATTCTGGCAAATATTTTTAACTAGGAGAATGGAAGCTGTACAGACCGAGAATGTTTACAGCAATTTCGTTTCCGCTAGCTGAACTGTTCCGAATTAAATTCGTCTCGATTCGCATTTCGTGCGGGAAATTAATTTCCAGAAAATCAATTCATCGATTTCGCATAGAATGTTTAACCCAGTGCAAACTTGTGAGGATTATTCGTATAAATTTGTCATTTTTGTTCTTATTCATTCGTTTCAACGAGCGATAGTTAACTTGACAGCACGCAAAAAATTACATTATCCCGAGATAGCACGATTTCGAAGCGCAGTGTTTATAGCAAGTTCGATAGATTGTCTCGTTAGGAACCTGGAATGTGTATTACACCTTGAATAGTCTCTAAAAGTAGATGATAGCGTCAACATCCATATTAAAATTAGAAACGTCGGAATGTAAGTGGGGATCATTTCTCACTTATCTTTAGAAGACAGTTCATAGAACTTGCATAGTTATCATACTGCGTTTCCCCTCGGGTTTCAGCTGGATTTTACGTGTTCTATGCGAACGAGACTAAAATATCACGTATGAGAATTTCAATGCCAGAATGGAAATACGAAATGCGATCAAAACGATGATACTGTTTCCCGTAATTTTACTTGCAATATGCAATAGCGAGGTTCGGACAGGAACCTGTATAGGGCATTCTGTATATTATATTACTCCCGATATATTTGCCATGTCCATAGGAATTATCAAGTACATTCGGCTTAATTTATTTATCCGATATCGTGTCCGCAGGTATATTTCGGAACGACTGCGGGGCAATTAATAGTAATGGACGTTCACGGGGCAATGGTGTCGGAGGTGGAACTAGCAGCTGGTGTCACTTCAATGGCTTGGAGCGCGGAGAAGTTCACCATGGAAGAAGGGGACGACGATTTAACGAACGACGAATCGCACAGAGGTATTACCAAGATTAACATTCTACTTAAACACGCCATTTCCCTGTTCCAATTTGATCGTCTGTCTCTTTTTATCGACTACAGAACATGTTATGCACTTCTACGTACGCTTTTCGAATTATCAATTTAAAACACTTCCGTACCCTCGATAGAGGGTACCATTTGCACCCGAAGCCATTTTAACGGCAAACTAGCTTTCATATAAAAGTGGTATAACGATATTTTTAAAAAGTCGTAATTCACCTTGCTGGATTCTGTCGCGTACACTGTATTCGATTCGACTAAAGATTTAGTATATATTTTTCTAGAAGTGACTTTTTCCATGTGACGTCTATGCGAAACAAAAATCATCTGCATCGATAATTGTACAGAGCAAGGGCTAAACAAAGCCGCAGTTGTTCTTTCAAGTATTTCCGACAGATTCAAAATAGCGTAACAAGATTCTTAGCACTTATGCAACTTCGCCATAAATGCATACAATACCGTCATTATTCGTCCAGAGTATTGTCTTTTATTCGAGAACATTTAACATTGTTTCTGAAATAACGAAACACGAACACGATAATTTAGGATTGGCAAGACCGTAAGAATTTTTCAAAAGAATATCAACCGCTGTAGCCAAGGGCCACTTTATCGCGCAATTAAGAAACGAGAAACATGTTTTCGCAGACGATCGGAACTACGTTCTGGCCGTTTGTTTAGCCGACGGGAACATAGTGATGCTACGGTCCTTCGACGACGTATCGCCCATCACGATACGGACGAACCTGAAGGCGCCGTTGCACGCCGAATGGAGCAATTCGCGAAAACTGCTTGCCATAGCTGGGACGAAGGAGTCGGACTCGCAGGGCAGCCCTCACGAGTACACGAACCTTTTGAAGTTTTACTCGGTCACCGGCGCTCTTGTGTATACCATTGCGATACCGTACACGCAAGTATGTGTCTCTCTCTTCTCTCTCTTTCTTTCTCTTTATTTTTCTCTCCCACCTCTCTCTCTCACTCTCTCCCCTCTTTCTCTTTTTCTCTCCCCCCTCTCCCTCATTCTCCCCCTCTCTTTCTCTATATCTCTCCCTTTCTCTCCCTCTCCCCCTCACCCCTAC